ATTTGCACTCTAGGTATCTGACAGGGAATATCTAACTCACTTGCAATCAAAAGCTCAATTGAGCAAAAAAAAAATATTTATGGAAGCCACTCTGAAGGGCGTGCCACCATTTCCCCAGACAAGCCAGAATCTATCCCTAGATTAAGCCACAACAGCTAAGTATCGTGCTCTGACTGAATTGATGAGTCCTTGAGGAATTATTTTACTGAATTTATACTTGGGCCTTATACCATCTACTTACATTGAGGGACACTACCAGGAGTCCTATGAAAACTCATTGCTATTTCAATTTAAGGATGTTGTTAATTGTATTAACAAAAAAATGTCTTCTTTATGTGGAATGAAGGGAGAAATAATTGAGCTTCTCTTGGGCATATTTTTTCCTCATGGACACATGGATTTTATCACTTACCACATTCCCCTCTTGAAAGGTTTGGAATAGTAAATTCATGACCTATTACCAGGAAATATGCTGGGAATTGCACCAAATGTTTTATACTTTAACTGCTTACCTGACTTTGTTATCCTTTCAAATCTTAATTTTTCTCATTTTCTCAATAAACTTATTTACAAGTTTTTTTTCCCTCCCACTGAAAAGACTGTGTTTTCATAAATCACCTGAAATCATTTCTTTATAAGTAAGATTGCAGTATATGAACACAGTGGAGAGCAGTGAGGAAATAAGATTTACATATGCCTGCACTCCACTCTCTTCCCCCTATACCTGTAGCCTTTTATACGGCTGTATGCTCAAATAAGGACTTGAAGACTCAAAAGAGGAATGTCATTGAATTTCACTGAGAAATAATAATGTCAAATACTGTTTTACCAACTTCCAAAAACATGTTAAAATAAATCAAAACTTTCTGCTATATGGTTACTTACATAAGAGAATTTTGGCCCGCTATTCTAACATACTACTTTATTATTTATATTCAGTACCTATATATGATAGATAGTTTACATTGCCTCACCACTAACTCACACCTTGAACTCTTCTTACGCCAACGTCCTGCAGTTGACAAATCCAATGATTTCCTCTTCTTTTTTTTTTTAATTTTTTGTTTATTTATTTATTTATGAGAAAGAGAGAGAGCAAGCTGGGGAGGGGCAGGGAGAGAGAGCGAGAGAGAAATCCCAAGGAGGCTCCACACTTTCAGGGCAGAACCTGATGTGGGGCTTGAACCTACGAACTGAACGGTGAGATCATGACCTGAGCTGAAACCAAGAGTCAGACGCTTAACTGACTGAACCACCCAGGTGCCCCAATGATTTCTTTTCTTCTTCTTTTTCTGCACATTTTAATTTTACGTATACCTATGTCAACCATTTCTTTCATCTTGAACATCTCTTCACGTTTGATTGTTCTATACTTCCATTCATTTCATTCTTTCATTGAAAAATATTCATTGCATTGTCACTCAGTAGAAGCACCACACCAGATGTAAACTCTGTGTTGATCTGCCTTTTCCTTCCATGTTCTATTTCGTTTTGCTCATCACATCCAAACTTTAATAGTAATATTTCCTGAAGCTCTTTCCCCTGGTCTCTACTTTCTGCCTCTGTATTTTTAACCCTCAGAGGATCCACCCACTGGTGACTCCCCATCCGCATCTCCGGTGTGAATCCCATATCCCTACCCGTGCACACTGCCCACATTTAGCTCAGAATTTGTCCTTCCTCCTTGAACCACTTGCGCTCACAATTTTCCCAGTGCCCAAGGCTTGGTTCCTACACCTATCCTTTGTGTTTCATTACTCTTTTGTGACACTTCTAACCGGTGGTGAAATCTTCTTTCTGAAATATATTTCACTTTCCATCCTCCAGACTCAGGCCTGGTTCTTCCCTTCCCCCTTCCCCCTTCACACCTAGTTTATTGCCATAGCCCAACCAGGCAGCCGGCCTTCAGGGAGTCTTCCTGTTCCCTCCACCAACTAACTCATCCAGCCTACCTCACCAGATCAATCTTTAAAACGCACTGTTATTCTCTTATTGCTTGGCTGCTCAGAGACCTTCCATGGCTCCCCACGGTTTCCCAAAAAAGTTCTTTTTACCTTCATATGTGGAATGTCTAAGTTGACTTTCTGGCCTTTTGAGAGTATTGCTAAGCAAGGGCAGAATACAGAGAAAAGGGCAATTAACATTGATATTTTTAATTCCAATTATTTTTCAATAAGAAATGACAAAGAGCAAAATTTCAATCTGAGTCAGACTCATTTTTCTTTTTTTTAACTACTACTGGAAACAAGGCAAAAAGGTCCACGTTAGTGCCATTAATCATGGAAATCGTATCCACAGGGGAAACAGACGCTTTGTGGCGTCTTCCGAGATGTGTAAAGCAGGAGAGGTAGAAATCATGAGCACGCCCTTACAGCTTTGCTCCCTTGTCAGAGACAGCGTGTCCCATCGCTGCAGCTCATTTGGGCTGCTCATCTGCCATTCAGGGTTTTCTCTTAGAGCACATTCAGTAATGATAAGGCCCCCTTGTCATATCCACTCTGCCACACGTAATTAAGTTCACGCCTCCCTTTAGACAGTTCACATCAGCAGATGACCAGCTGGAAAACATCCAGCTGGAAAAATCCCCAGTTTGGGATGCAATACAGGGAAATCAGGGAGAAAGAAAATGGAGAAAAATGATCAAACTTGTCCTATAAATGACTTGAAGGAACATTCATAGCTTCTGATGCCCTCCCAATGTCTTCCCTGTTAGAAGTTCTGTCTCCGATCGCGTGAGGATAGAAAGGGTCTTCAGGGAGCAGGAGAAAGAAACTGTGTGCGAGACTGTACCACAGTAAGAAGCAGAGGCTTGGTGCAGTGTCTTGGTCTATATGTAAAAGAGGGACGGCATGGGACAGAGCAGAAAAGCTTCGCGGTGAGATCACCTGCCTGAGAATTCGGCCGTCCCTCAGCTTTTGACTGGGAAAAAATTGGCTCTGTGACTTGATCTCCCCGAGCCCTAGTTTTTCGATCTTTAAATTGGAATTCATCACAGGGTTGCAGTGCGGAAATAAATGAAAGTTAAAGTATGGTGAATAAATGGTACCATGTATTCTATTATTAATATATCCTAAACGACGGAAAATAAGTGACGAGAACTGCTCATTATTTGACACAGTCGTCTTCTTGTGTTTGTTCCTTGTTTCATGGTCTCTCATGCATGTTTTCTTTTGAGATCTTGAGGTTTCTCTAGCTTCATTTATATAAACAGAACTTCTCTGATGCACACCAAGTTGAACAGAGTAATTCTCTCTGCACCTAACTTCAGGCAGTACGGGTGGCAAGAAGTGATTTATAGTTTTTCCTTTTCTTTTGAGTCGAAGGAAAAGGAAAACTCAAAGCAGAAGTGTCTAGCTTTATCAATTTTTTGTTTTCTCTTTCTTTCATCTCATATGCACAATTATTCTTGCCAGGGTGCTGGCCACACCATGGGAAGGAAAACCACACCAGTCACACAATGCACACATCTTTCAGCCTCAGCGCGTCCCTGTAGCACCCCTTAAGGCCTGATTTGCAGCTGAAGATAGTGGTGATTACATGGACAATAAGAGACCCAGACACCTCACTGCTTTGGAGGATAAAGCACAAGCCATCCCTCATTTCTGTTTAAACAAAATGTCCATGTTGGCAAAGGCCTTGAGTGATGGATGTACTTAGTGCAAACCTTGACTTAGGACAAGAGAAAGAAGAAAAAAGTACATAAAGGGATCTTAGAGTTTGCTGATCTTTATTTCTCCTGTTGCAACAGAAGGGCGCTCTCAGGGTCTGTGAATGTTACTTTGCATGGAGAATGAAAAAAAATGAATATTTGATGTGAGTAAATACAAGCCTTTTAGTAATTTTCTGTTGCTCAAATTTAAGGCATGAATAATGCTCAAGGAACTTTATCATTTTCTTAGGTTAGTGCTTGTGTAGGTGAAAGGACACCACCCAAGGAAAAAAAATGTTCGGGGTCCTCCGGATTATAAATGCCAGTATCTCTACCTGAGAGCATGATAAAAGAGCTTTTCGGCTTTTGAAGAACAAGACTAAAAATGGGTGTTTTTCTGAGGATGAGAGAGGGAAGACAAAAGGTATAATGTGTTATAATGATAACCTAGTTCGACATTTATCACTCATGCTTTGTATCTGGAGCTCAGGGCTGGAGAGCCGATGCCTTTCCCCTTGGGAAAAACAATGATAATCACATGTAAGGATCTTCTTTTCAACAAAGTCTTATTTTAAGATCTCAGTGTACTTCAGAAGCATTAATCAGTCAGACCTTAAAGCACTATTTAATACATACGTTTTATGTGGGAACTAACCAAGAGAGACCATTCTTAGATTTGTTAGAGGCCCAGACTGAAAATTGAATTTAGGACATTTAAAGTCTTCTTGTTATTTTTTACTTAAAGTAACTTCATCTTTATGACTATGATACATTCAAAACAAAGCCTTTTGACTCAATCTAATTTCTATCAATCCTAGATGCATTTAGAAAGGCTCAATATGGAGTTTATAAGGCTAAACCTAAAAAGGAGGCTGATAAGGCTTAAGTTAGGGAGAGTTACAAAAAGAAGAACCCGCAGGTTAGAATAAAATGCTAGACTGACGTGGGGGTGACAGGCCAGAGGTTAAGGGACTTTCTAATCTTTGTGACCTTTAACCCTGTAATGGGGATGGGGTGGATTCCTGAGCCAGGCCACATGAAGCTGATTCTCTGTGTCTATCCACACATCTCTCCAGACAATCTAAGGATCACATTTCTGGCCATTTTTCCAGCTATAATGGCCACATGTCCACTTGAGAAAAGATCTCTGGCCTTCGGCCCATACTCAAGATCTGCACAAGTGTCTGAAGCTTCAAAGATAAAGAGAAGCCGACGTTTTATAGGTCTAGGGAAAAAAGGGTATGCTAGAAGCAGGGCACTCGAGACATGTTGGGTTTATTCTTTCTATTGCACAATTCTCCTCCAGGTCAGACATTGATAAAGTCAAGCACACCAGAAAAAGCATATTTACCTCATATTTTCTTTCCTGTGTACAGTCACATACATTTCGTAGACTCTCCCTTGGGGAATGGCCCCAGCGGGAATCAGCAAGCTTACTCCTGAATAGCAAAAGAGAAAAGCAGTCACATAAGACCTATGAATCAAAAGGAAACTTCACAGAATGCCTTTGAAGCAAGTGAAAGGGAATGAAGAGATTTTGTGGCCATGCAGCTACAAGCCTGCTTTTTCTCTAAAGACATGTAAATATTCATAGCTGCCCTGCTTTCCGTCCTTATTGGTCTTATTTGTTACCACAGCTCCCTCTGAACTGTTCTGGAATTACTCAAAGGAATGATGTAATTTTTTAAACTCTTGTTTTATTTAAGGAATAGACAGATGGTTCCACTGTTGTTTTCCTTGTAAAATGAGGGGAAAACCAACAACCGCTCTTAAAATTTCAAACAGCTGTAATGATGCATCGTTTCTAATTTAAGAAAAAAAAAATCCCCACGAAATTCAAAGTCAGGGAAATGCTAACCTCAATAATATCAAAAAACACTTATTTCGGAAATATCTGGCCAGCATCAGTGTTTTTCCGTAACAGAATAATAATTGGTGGAGAACTTCTTTCATCACACATAACTCTAGAAAACGAACAGACAACAGACAAACTATGACTAGTTTTTAGTCAATGCAGGTCAGGAGGGTGTTTACTCAGTTGCTAATGGACACCATTTTGTAGGACTAGGGGATCACGCTTTGTTCTAAATTCACTGGGCCTATCGCAGTTCTTTCCCATTTGAGCTTGTATCAGAATCACTTGCAGTGCTTGCTAAAACACAGATTACTGGATCCTGGCGTTTTTGACTTATCGGGCCTACCAAAGTTGTACTTCTAGAAAGCTGTAGGGTGATGCCAATGACATGATGCCCGTGGACACACTGTAAGATGCCCGTGGACACACAGAGATGCCCGTGGACACACTGTAAGAACCACCGGCCTGCATCACTGCGGGATCATCACAAAGAATAATTCCAGGTGGGCAACAACCTGTAGACACCCGTCTTTGTGATTTTATTCCAATAAATGCAGTTTACTTTCAGCTCACTAAAAACTGACAGGGCATCGCTGTGAGTATGGTGTTTGGCAGTACTGTGAATGACACGAAGTAAAAGACAGTGTTTCTGTCTTTGAGTAATTTATACTTGAATTAGCAAGGGAATGGAATATGCCAAATGAGCACAGGGCAGTAAGGAAACTTGCCCGACCATGTTGGAAAGTCTCAAGAATGAAGAATGGAGACTTAAGGAGGAATCGTTACTCAGAGGCGTTTGTGTAACCGGTTGGAAATGTTGAGTCACGGCCTTCTCGAGAAGGAAAGTCACATAAAAGCTCAGTGCTGTGGGAAGCAATGTCACAATAGGGGACAGGATGGTTTGCTGAAGCACACAGTGGAAGCAAGAGGGCCACATGTGAGGCTACCAGCCCTTGGTAGTTTTTTATTTTTCCTAATGGGAGCAATAAAATGTACCTTTATGTTACAGGGATGAAATAAAGCTATGAATGTAAAGTGATAAGAATAATGCCTGATGCATGTTAGGTAGCTTGTTATAAAGTAATGTATGTAAATCACCAATGCTTAGGACATAGAAAGTATTTAACACATGCAACCTCTTTCCTTTCCACTTAAGAAGCCTTTAGAATAATTCATATATGAGAAAGTGACAGGTGTGAAAGTGGGAAGGAAAGGTAGAATCCAACAAATATCATGAAAAAAAAACTGCCTTGAGAATATATAACGTTTAAACAGTAAAAAACAATAGAGCATATTTTGATCTATCCATCTGATAGACTTTTAGAAATATATTTTAAATCATGATTTTAAAGAGTATAGAAATATGTTTTAAATCATGATTTAAATATAGAAATATAGAAATATATTTTAAATCATGATTTTAAAGATTTTAAAGAGCATGAGAATTAAAGAGAAAAAGGCAAAAAATATATATATAACGTATAATCTCAGCTATGTAAAATGCATAGATAAAAGGAAAAATGAGACTCCCTTAAGTATTTTAATTTATTAAAATATACTTTTAAATGTATGGTGTGACAAACTGGCAAGGCATTGAAATAAGGGACTGAATAAGAGAAAGAATCAAAAACAAGTTCATATTCAGATCTGCAGACCAATCGGGTCTGTATATTATTTGGCTGTATGGCTATTTTTACACTATATTATTTTCTTATGCCACATGAGGACTTCAGGTCAATCAAATTGTTTCTTATTGCTGTATTGTCAAAAGAGCTAAGGTAGAGTCACGGAGGAATCCCTTAACCCTCTCATGGCCAATAGATAAAAACCCATCGCTAATACCGATAAATGAATATCAAACATTAATCAAACATTATCAGTAACTAACTTAAATTTACCATTGCAGTCCTTTATGGCACTTATATTGTAGAAGCAGGTAACTAAATAATAAGCTGAAAACTCAATTATACTACAGATATACACTACACATAATGAGGCTGTGATTCCAGAGAGATTGATCAGAAGAGGGAGCGAGTACCTTACAAATACCTTGAGGTGGAAGATCGTATAATAAAGAGTTAAGTTAATAAATGAAGATTTGATGTCTACTATGATGTTCTCTGATCTCAAAATTAGTATTCTGAAGTATTGCTTCCTACAGTAAATTGGAAGTGAACCAACTAATATGTTTTCTAATTAATTTGTCCTTTTAAAGTGTGATGACAACGGCGAGCACTTCTGGCTTGCCGTTGCCTTCTGAAGCTCTATTAAAAAGAAGGTCAATGACAGTTCCAAATTAAATCTTGGCAGAAAGTTGTGAGTATAATATTTCTAGAGGAAGTGTTTTCCGAGTTGGCTGGAGGAAGATGAATGGTTTGGCTAATTTTGTCTGAAGTAATGTTGATCTACATCGAAAGTAGATTTGGGTTAGATTAGGCTCCAACTAACTTTTCAGGCCTAATGAAAACAAACAGATAAAAAAAAGATTTGGGTACAAACATACGTTCCCAAGATCTATGTGATTGCAACCTCTAGGAATTACCTGAATTGGGAACAATCAGGTGACCCCCGAGAGAGTTGAAGGTGCCAAATGCAGTACAGGATGGATCCGTCTGCCTTGCTAGACTCTGATTCTTCACGTTGAGCGCCTCGTTCTCCAACAAAGATTGGGTCATCTGAGGAGACAGCTTTGATGCAAACTCAGACAGGTCATCTTGAGGGGTGACAGCACCGGAAGTGTTGTACACTTTGATTTTCAGGTTGGGCAGTGGATCCAGAATTGGAGAGTTGGTCATTGGGATTTTGTCTGAGACATCATGCAAGGCATAGACAGGTCCTCTGTACATGGCGGCAGCTGATGTGAGGTCTGGGGGTACCACCAGGAGATCTGAGTCAGAAAGAGAAAGGAAGTCCATTTGCATTCTCCATTCAGGTAACTTCTACTAGTCAAGCTCACCTTGGTACTTTCTGAGCCAAACACAAATGAACAAATGAATATTCGAGATGTTTAGACTCTAAGGTTCTGTTGAAAACAGGGCAATGAGATAACTACAATCCATTTTATTGTTGGCTACAAATTAGGAGACGAGTTCATTCTGTATTTTGCCTTGAAGTCTACTCATTGTTCCTAAGGTATTTAGCTATTTCAACAGATTGAATTCGAAGACAGTGATCTGCATTCAATGACTTAGGTAATAGTTTTCCTTGTCTATACTGGATTTTAGGTCATCTGTAGACCAGTATATTCATAGCTATGCAAGCTGTATTGTCAAAAGGCAAAAAAAAAAAAAAAAAAGGACGGGGATGTAGGAAATCAGTCAACCAATCTGTGTATTCTTTTAAAGTAAAAGTTTAAAAGTATGACATAGAAACCTGTTAAGCCAAAAAAATGATTTGTGCATCTTGTCACCTCTAGTTTGTTATATGAATGAAGTCAACAGAGTAATGACCCTGATTTTGTCTGAAGTAATGTTGACCCAAATCCATTTCTTCATGGAGCTAATGCTCTGGCTAAACTACATGACTTGAAAGTCCCCGATTTTGGCACCACACAGGGATGCTGGTCACATGCATACATCACAGGTGTGGAGTGCAACGTTAACTGACCTTGTCTCGCTGCCTTGATGTTCACAGGCTGAAAGCCTCCATTGAGTGCCGAAGAGTCAATAATATCAGACTCAAAGTCACGATGATTCTTGCGATACACAAATAGGGCCACAACTACAGAAATGGCCAGGCAAACTATCACAGCTATCACAATGCCAACATACAGAGCGACATCATCTGAATCAGGAGCAGCTGGAGAGGACAAGGAAACATTGGACCAACTGCTTAGAGAAATTTCCCACAGATCACATACATATTGTCGGTAATTTTTTTTCCGACATTTATTGCCTTTTTTTATAGGTTAATTTCAAATCTATTTCAAAAGCTATATAAAACCACTGTGGCCTTTCAGTGGAAAATTATCTCTGATTTCTTTTCCTTTCTCACTCTGCATCTACCCACCCACTAATCTATCTTAAATTGGGCAGCATAACAGACCATTTATTAGAAGGCATAAAAAGAAACTGGAACTAAAACCATCCCAACCCATAGGGGGAAAAAAAAAGTTCACTACTAATTTCAGGTGGAAGAGTTTGGAAGGCTGCTTTGAATTCACTGATAGTTCTCTAAAAAAATAAACATCAATATCCTGTTAGAAATATCTGGCATGTTCTGAATCTGTATATTTATTGAATCAGAATATGTTTTTAAGTATCATTCAAGTCAAAAGGTTACTTCCCACAAATAACATTCTTCTCACTTTCCCCTAAATCAGTGAACAGATGGGTGAGAACGGTATATGTAACTAAGCAAAACAAATACTAGGAGCAAACACATTGGATTTTAAAGATGTGCTTTCAGAAGATTTGGAGAGCAGAGGTCATTGGTGATAACACCAGACTTTTGATACAGATTCAGTATTACCTCTGAGAACTATGAGGGTCTCATGGTCTCTGGTCAGTGATTTACATTTAGCCACTTGTTACCGAATCAAAATGTCTGTATGGTGCAGAGTAAGATAAAGGCCTGGTTCAGTGATCATAAAGGTCAGACTACCCTAGAAGGCAATTGAGCATTTGACCAACACAGTGTGCAATCGGTCGGGAGATCTGTTTCTGGGTAAAGCAAGAGGACAATTCCTGTAAATGTTCATCTTGCCTTGGGGGCATAGAACATACTTGGCTTCAACTGCAAAAGGTGATAGAAGCTGATAACTGAAACAAAACGAACAAGATTAAACCTTTCCAGAACCCCGCAGACACCTTTAAGTCTCTGTTTTTAGTATTTTGTGACCCACAAAAATTTTCAGCAGAGGTAACCAAAGCTTCTCCACTCACTATAAAAGAGGTGATTTTACACTGGTATTGCAAATAGTCAAGAACAACCTTTTTATGCTCAATTTTATATACACGTGCGGTTTGGAGGAAGGGAGTTTTCAGATATGTGAGTCCCATGGCCTCCTAAAAGCTGAAGAGCCCCTATTCTGTCCACTACGACTCACAGCCACATAGTTTATGTAGGGGAAATGACTCATCATTTAGATTGCCAGTGGCTCACCCAAACTCTTGACATGGTTTCTTTGACACGTTGACAGTTTAAAGGGATTCCCTGTTAGAAACTGCTCTCTTTCAGCATTTTGTGTTTAAATATACTGTATGTGAGAGACATTTCTTTTTTAACTATTATCTTTCCCAAAGTTTCCAGAATATCAACTTTCCCATCTACTAAGTCAATATTGACAGATCTTTCCAGAATACTAGTGACAGCCCAAACACTCTTGGTTGTATGAGCACTGCTTTCCAAGGGCTGACCGGACGTTGCTGCTGGGTAATATCTGAAGTCCTGCAGCAGTATTCTGAACTCCAGCCAGAACATTACATCTAAATCCTTAGGGTTTTACTTTATCAGGCTGTAATTACTTACCCAACATTCATGCTTCCTAACTCAACAGATCTGCATTTTCTCAACCCTTTACTTTTTAGCATTTGAACCTGGCCCTTTATTAGATCAGCACATTTCATGATATGGTTTGTCAGCTATTGGGACTGAAGCTTTGAATGGTAGACTGATAGATTTTAAAGCTGGCAGAGGCTTGAAATGACCCTTCTTTCTTCTCCTCGGTGGTGAAAATCTAATTTGTTTTTCATGTTAGAATATATTAGGCGCCTATTTCCTGTGTGCACATCTGTGATCTAAAGAAAGGTAAACTTGAACTGGGGGCAATAACGTTAAATGATTATTCAGCAACATAAAAACTAAACATCAAACTTACAAGAAAATCCATATTCATTCTGGGTTCGCTGTTCAGTTGAGATAGGATAAAGGAAACCTTGAAAAGAACAAAAAAATGAAACAAAAATGGGAACAAAATCAAATTAATGAGGGAAACAAAATAAGAAGCATGAAAAATGGTTTAATTAAAAGAAAAGGAAAAGAAACCTGTGGTCCTTTAAAATACTGGTTCAGTACAGAATTATGATTTTGCATCTCCTGTCTGCTCTGGAGCCTTACCAAGAATTAATAAGTAGGCAGATTGAATTTCAGAGCAAAACTGGTCTCGAGTCACTAACTTTGGAGTGCTTAAAGTCTTTCTTTTATTGAGCATAAACTCTAATGGATCTAATTTATTTCAGACATCAAGGGTCATTAGCATAAGGAAAATCTTTTTTCCTTATCCCTGCCATATGCTTTAATTCCCAGGACATATTCAGTAAGGCTCTAAGCAGTTTTTTTCCTTTTTTTTTTTTTTTTATTTAATCATAACAGCTTGCTCTTGGTCTAATAGAACTAAAGAAGACCTGTCATCATTGGTCAAAGGTTAAATACCCATTTGCTGAGCTGAGCTGAGCTGAGCTGAGACCACCCTTCCTCCCTCCATCTCAAATCCACCTTTTGGATTTTTGGTTGTTTCTTGTTCCTCCATTTAATAGGAATCCAATAGGTTTTGCCCAGGGACTGAGCAGTTTCTCAATGCAACGGAAACTGGATGCTTTTTATTTGAAATCACTCAAAAATCAATAGGGCCTAGAGGTTATAAGGTTATTTATTTCAGGGCTTCAGAGGAATAGTGTAAATTGGGAAAAATAAAAACCTCATCTCAACAATAAATGCACAGGTAACACTAGCCTTTTTTATTTTTCTTTCTTTTGAGTATATTCTAAGATATGAAGGAAGATGATGATGATGATGATGATGATGATGAAAATAATGTCAAGAAGAAGGCAGGGGGAAACATTTTAAAAACGTGGAATACAAATTTAAAACTTTTAATATGTAAAAATTTAAAGGTATAACTTATAACTGGTACCTCCAGTTTCCTAATATATAATCTTCTATAACATATGAATTGATCAAATGATACAGCGCCATTTGGATTAATCAAATGAAGATGACACGAATTAAGCTTTCCTAGTAATGCTCAAGGGCAAAAACTGTAGAGAATCTGTAAGAATCACAATTAATTTGCTCAAAATTAAAGGTCTATAATGCTCTAATACCAAAGGTAACTCTAAATCGTGCCTTAGGTAGATCTTCTGTAGTTTGCAGAACACTCAGCTCTTATAAGCTATTTACCTATTTGGGGAAGTAATTCAGGAGAAACATGCCGTGCTACCTTAATGAAAGAGAGGTTTGCTGTAGCACAGACAAGTTTGCTCTGAATTAATTTTTAATGCTTTATTTTAGAGCAATGATTGCAACCTCCTACTCAGTTTTATAAATATTATATTTCTTATTCCAGTTGTCTGAGTCCATGTATTAGGTTTGATTTTCATTTTTAAACACTTCTGTCTGGTAATAACCTTTTTCCATTTGTATTCTGTGAACTCAATAAAAGGACATCTGGGACATATACAGGCACTAGAAGAAAGGTTATTTATTTTGAAACCTAAAGATGTAAGACAATATGAGTTCACTGCTAGCAGAGGAGAGGAGGTAACTGATGTCATCATTCTGGTAGGGAAGGTATTAAGGAGAGGGGTGTCAAAATATTCATTTCTTGCAGATTAGAAGGCCTGGCAACAACTGTAAAACAGGGTATCTGGGGATGGTCCGTTGTTCATCTTGAAAATTTTGATCACAATCAGCATGGGCCTGCTGGAGTACGCAGAAGAATTGTATCTGAGAGAGGGAGAACACAGATATTAACATGGTCTGAAATTTCTCCCTGTGAGGCAGTTCTGGGTTTGCCTTGGCTTTTACCTCTACTTCCCAACAGAACGCCTGTTTTTGAAAGCAGACCAAGGAATAGTAAATAAGGAACTTTATAATTTTGCTTTTAATCTCAACTTTCCCATATTTATGTAGAGCTGGACAACTCAAAAATATTTTGGTAATTTATGGCATTCATCTGGGACTATATTTCATTCTAGGCACAGAATTGGAACTCCTTCATTCATTCATCCACCTAACAAATACTCTTGAAGCCTATTATATACTGGGTTCTATTCTAGGCACGGGGTACAAGGACAAACAAAAATGGGAAATGTCCCTGCTTGTGTTCTAGTTTAACAGAAAATAAGTAAAAATAATAAATAAGATCAACTCAAATGCTGAAAAATTTATTTTAAGAGATAGAAAAAAAGAATGTCATGTGATTGGAGATAAAGGGATGAACACCTTAGGATTTCAGGGAGCAATTTTTTGTTGAAATGGGATTTGAGCTGAAACTTGAACATGAGAAAGAATCAGCCAAGTTGAAATCATGAGGGACTGATGCTCCTCAAAGAACAGCCGTGAATGCAGAAGTCCCGACATAAAAATGGAGGGGTGCCTGGGTGGCTCAGTCAGTTGACCATCAGATTCTTGATTTCGGTTCAGGTCATGTTCTCACAGTTTGTGGGATCGAGTCCCACGTTGGGATCTGTGCTGACAGTGCACAGCCTGCTTGGGATCCTCTCTCTCCCTCTCTCTCTGTTCCTCTCTCTCTCTCTCTCAAAATAAAATAAGTAAACATTAAAAAAATGGAGTGGGTGGAGGGAAGCGATTGAAAGGAAAAGGGAGGAGGCAGGCTCAGAGGGGTGAGGGGTAGCCAGGTCCTGTAGGCCTGGTGGGCCAGGATGAGGCATTTTGATTTTATCCTAAATGAAATACAAATCCCATGATCAAATGTAATTTTGAAAAGATTGTTTTGATTTTCCTATAGGTAATGGAGAGCAAAGGGAGCAAAGTGACAGGGCTTTATGGATGGTTTCTATGACACATGGCTTGGGAAATGTCTATCAATAGGTGTATCAACGTAGTTGATAAAGTGT